AATTTTCACTTTACTGTCGCAAATCTCAAAGTTACAATATTGGTTATATTGTTGAAATAATTAATTAAATGTATATTTGGTGATATATATATAAGATTACTTTTTAGTTATAAGTGATTATATATGTTGGAAGTAAATTTTTTAAGATATTTTTTCAAAAAATACTTTCTAGAATATATTGATTATACCTTGGGAATATATTGATTATACCTTGGAGATAAGTGCTTATATGCCTTTAATCCGAAAAAAAAATATTCCAACTGTAAGCCTTCTCTAAATATTATTTTTAGAGTCTTGAGTAACCAAACAGATTCATAAAAATTAATAATCTAATAAAATTTAATTAAAAAATTTATCAAATTTTGTGTATAATATTTTTTAATCATTTTCTCAATAAAACCTTTTCTAATAAAATTCACCTTGAACCAAACACTATTGCATGTTATCCAACTAAAGCACTACCTCCAAAGTTTTAAGCTTGGTAAAAAAAATATTACTATTGGGTCAAACATATTTTTGGCTCTTCATTCTTGATATTTAATTAGACAATGATTGGTTAAAAAAATTCTAATTTGTATTATTAAAGTATAATAAATATATATTTTTATAAATTTGTATTAAAAAATAATTTTAATCTTTAATTTATTAACTTTTTAATTAAATTCATCAACTTAAAACCAATACTAAAATTAATATCAATATTTTTATTTTTATACATATTTATAATAAAAATATACCATTAACATATACCTAAAAATAAAGAAAAAAAAAAAGACAATGATTGAGAGTACAAGAATGGAAAAGATTCATCCTTTCAGTTTTGGATTTCTACATCAATTTTCTATTTTTAAGGTTTTTAATTTTATCCCATACAATGGAAGAAACAGTCCTCTATCCTTTTTAACTCATTTTTATCCTACATACAACTCAAATATAAATTTTATTTTATTTTGTATTAAAAATATTATTGTTTAATTACTTAAATCAAATCGTTGATGGTTTTTTTTTTTTTTACAAAGATAATGGTTAGAAAGTTAATATGAGTTAAGAAGTTAGTAACTGGGATTCCCAAAATGGTAAATATTTCACCCTTCAAATAAGGCGCGCGACCATTAGACCATAAATTGGTAGAATTCACGACGGTGACAAAATTCAAAACCCTGACCTCCACATCACCAAAACCTTTAAGGCTTGACGGTTAACCATTCGACCTCAGGCTCGGTTCACCGTTGACTGTTCTATTTAGTAACGTGTTGCGTAAGTGAATATTTGAGGATTTGTTCATTAACAACAAGTGAAATATACCCAACTTTAAAGTTTGACCTTCTTATATTTTTATAAAGGAACCGACACTAACACTGACTTAACTATTTTTTCTATAAAAAAAAATTATAATTTAAGTTGTCACATGTACCTACCAAAACCACATGATGTGGTAAGTACAATTTGCCCAACAACCAAAAGTCTTCGCTTATTTCGGCCGTCTGGTGGACTACTAAACCAGAATCATTTTCTAAAACAAATTCTAAAATTTAAGTTTTAGGATTCAGAAAAGAAAAAATTAGTACGTTATATTATTAAAGATATTAAGATATTTAATTATAATTATTAAATATATAAAATATAATAAAAATTTTAATTTTATTATATAATTATTATTAAATTTTTAATATTTTTAATATCAAACTGTTTTAGTTTTTTCTTATCTCTTTATAATTACTAATATTAAAAAATTCATTAATTTTTTTTGAGCGCGTTAAATGCGCTCCATCTTTAAGATCTATTGGCTAAGAATTTATTTTGAGCCGTATAAAAATAAATTTAACCTTAACTGTTCAAAAATAAATAAAAAAGTATTTTATATTTTGAATTATTTTAAATTATAAAATATTAATCATTAATAGAGAGGATTTTTTTGATATTAAAGCCTTACCCTATCAAAGTGTCACTGGCCTAAAACAGTTTAAACTCTAAAACAATGTACTTAAAAAAAATCTTTTTTATTGTAAAATTAAATTATGAATAATGATATAAAAATAATTT